TCTGGGCTGTCTGAACTGCCTGGGTTCCAAAATCGAGGAGATGGGCTGCAATTGGGATTCGGATTGGGACAATATTTGAGGATGATTGCATGCTTGTGCAAGCGGCTTTCATGTACGTGAACGGCAAATTTATTTGCACAACTGCGATTGATGCTGGCATCGCCCCCAAACGCCTCCAACCTTCAACCAGTTATTCTGCACTGGAAAATAATAGGGAAAATCATTAAGGCCATTAAATTGAATAACAAGTGCTTTTGGAAATCTGAAAATCATTAGTAAAGATATAATATATATTTAGATAAGCCCAACTTTAAGCTTTGCAAGTCAAAGAATTATTATTCAAAAATATATTTTGTTAATATTTGGCCCCAAGTTGTTTAAAGAAAAATAAAACTGTAGTGTTTTTGGAGAGACATTTTTAAAAAAAAATTTTTCAAAGTCAAAATAATTTATTTTATATGCTCTTTTAAAAACTAAGGCATACGGTGTAACTTTTTAAGTCATTTAGGTAATCTTTTCACATATGACGAACAATTGAACAAATTGTAACCCCTCTTTTCATTGATTTTTAAATCAATTCTTTTTTTTACAATCATAATTTTGTTTGTTTAAATCTATTTCAAAATCAAAACAATTTTCAACCAGCGTTTAACAAAATTTTAAAATAAAATTAGGCTTATTAACATTTTTAAAAATTAAATCAGTGTGCTCCTATTTTGAAATAAAAAGCAAATTAAAATGGCTAATTTACAGAAAAAGGGTTTTTTTATTCATTTACTTACTAGTTTCTTAAGCCCCAATTTAAAGTTACAAAAATTGGGGATTAAGGGATACTAAATATTTTTTAGATCGCTTTGGGTATTTACTTATTTATTAAGGCAGTATTTTGAGGAACCACTTTAAATTTGAAATTCGAAACATGCCAAATCCAACGAGGGGTTTCGAAAACGATTTTTCTAAATGCACTGGCCTGTCATTTGGAAAATCCAGGACTCCGTCACTCGGAGTTTGGCATTTGGCAAATGCTCGATGCTCGATGCTCGATGCTCGATGTTCGTCTCCTGATCTGCACCATAAAAGTCTGTTGCATAAACCAATTTCGCATTTGCTCTGCCACCAAATGCAGATGCCCCCGAGGGCGGGAAAAAGTGAAAAACCGGTGGGTGGGTGGAAAATTCTGTCAACGCAACTTCTTCGACTGGCAGCAGAATCGCTGGCTGATAACGTAAACCGCTTTGATTTTTATTTAACTGCACATTTCCCTCCTGCAAAGCCCTCGCCCCCGCCCCCCCCCCCCTTTCTCTTCCCCCCTCACCCACCCCGCCGATTGACATTTAATGGCAACTTGTGGCGGATTTTCGATTGCAATTTCTGCGGTTTTCCAATTTTCCCCAATTTCACAATTTTCCATTTGCCTTCGCTTATTGCATTTATTTATTTTGTGCGCGCGCCCTCCTTTTTTCTTCCAATTTTTTTCTGCCAGCACTTGCTTTGCTTTTTAGCCTTTCTGTCGGGCGAGTGAAATTGATAATTTATAAAATTGTTGGCAAATGGCAAAAAAAAAAAAAAAAGAAGAGAAGAAAAATCTTTAAAAAGGGGAAAAAGCGAGGAAGGATGCCGTTTGGCCAGCATTTTAGTGGCGTGTCTTGCAACACATTTGCCGCGTTCACCTCATGAAATATTTCTCAAGTTTCGGCCGTTACCTTGACTTGATAGAAAGCATCCTGCGGCAGCCTGGTGGCCACTTTATGGCGGGTATCCTGCATCCTTGGTCCCCGTCCACCTCCCCAGTCATACATTAAATTATGCAAAACACACACACACACAACCTCACACCCTCTTCCAAGGACTTTTCCTTTTGTGTCTTCCGTTTCATTTTTGTTCTCCTCACCCGCTTTAAAGGAAATATATTTTGCACTTGGCTGTTGCTTTTACTTAGCCAAGTGAAGCATGAAAACGCACACACATATGTGTCTACAGCTGAGGTCAAAATAATAAAAGCTTTATTTCCCACACACAAAAAAACTTGTAGGTAAAATCTAATAGTATAATAGTTAAATGGTCCCAACCCATCGAATTGTCAACTTGACCAATGAAACTTACCATTTTATGGTAGTTTTACTATTAAATAGTAACCATAGCCACAATATAATGCACCTTACTGTTTTAAATAGTTTTTAGACTTTTTTACAGTTACGTTACTATCCGTATAGGTCAATTTTAACTTTACAATCTTTTTTTATAAAGAATTACTAATGGATAATTATAATTTTTTTAAATTATAACTTATAAAGTAAGTGGAGAGAATTTAATGTTTTAAATAAATATTTGTTATGTAGGAACTATATATTTTAAATATTTATATAAAAATGCATTAAGAGTAGTAAAGTCGCTTGGCAAAGTTCTTTCTTTACCAATAACTTTTTTTATATATTATATATATTATTATATTATATATATTATTATATTTATATATTTATAATAAAAAAACTAATATAAAAAAACAAAGTCGGCTCAACTATTTATATAATTAACCTAAGATATCAGAGATGGTTAAATCCCTAGGGGAAATTTTTCTACAAATAATCTTTTAAAATAAAGTAAAAAATTGGGCACAACTATTTCTATAAATTACCCATAATATCAGTGGTAGTTCAATAGCTAGATATAATTCTTTTTCTACCCATGCCATTTTTAAATTTATAAAATAAACAAGTGGCATTGTAAGCCCAACTATTTATATAATTTACAAAATACCCCTATCAATTAAGGTACTTTTTTAGCTTGCATTTAAAAGCCTTAAAATACACAGATCCCCCACATGTATTATTTTGGGCACAGCTGTAAATTTGTACCCCATAGCCTCACCCACTTAAGTTAGCACCCCCAAACCCAGAACTTTTCTCCCCACGTATTTATTTGGCGCTTCGCTGCTTTTATTTTATTGAAATTTATGATTTCTGACACAGAATTTATGTTGTTTTGCATTCGGGCGAGTGTGTGTGTGGGTTCGGTGGGAAAGGGGCATAAAATAAACCTCAAATTCTCGTAAAATGCCCAGCAACCCGGCCACCAGAGTCGCCAGCTTTTCAGGGAGTTGCACGAATTTCTTGTTTTTCCGATGCCTTCCGCCTTTTCTAGCCCTCTGGTATATATATGTATATATATGTATATATATACCCCTGGTATTCCGGCATTTTGATAGCTCCTCTTTGGCCAATGTCAGTGAATTATTTAATTCGTATAAATATTGAAAACTCAATTTTTTATGATGTTTTCCCGTTGGTTTATTGCTCTTTTGTGGCGCTTTCATATCGCATAACTTGCCCCTGCCACGGCCACAGGATCCCCCGTCCCAAAAACCATCGTATTTGCCAGAGACATTGCGTATTGATATTTCACACTTCCGTGGCCAACAAAAATAATATAAGAAGAATTTGCATTGAATTTAAATCCTTCATGAAAATCCCAATGAATAAACTCAGCGAGAGATGGCAAACCGCTGGTTTTATGAATAAAGGGTATGTTTTGGGTTAGCTTTCGACCGTATATGATTTTTATATATTTGTTTTACCCACAAAAAGGCTTCTGTTCAGCGTTTGCCGACGAACCCAGTGATTAAGTTTTTCAAAGTTCCCTTTATGGGTATTCTCCGAAATATTCAGTCAGCTTCTATACATCAAAAATATATAAAATGTTATTTTTTTTGCTGTACCATATTTCACAGCAAATTAAAAAGGAATTCCATTGAATCCATATAAACCAAAATACCAAACAGTGGAATATTGTAAATTAAGGGGTCCTATTGAGGTGGACCTTGCACAGGAGATTTAAAATAGCTATAATATATCAGTATATGTTTTTATTTCTGTTATTGAAAGCGATCTTCCGTCACTCTTTTAAAACGGCAACTTAATTTTATTTTTTTTTTAATCTTATGAACATATATATTTATAAGATGTTTTTATAATAGATATAGTTTATAAATAAAAAAATAATATTCCTAATTAAATATTCCGCTGAATTTCAGCTGAAATCTCTTTACTTTCCATTCCTGGTTGAGGATTTTTGGAGAGTACAGCCCTTCAGATATCCAAAACAGGTTTCTTTGTTGCATGAAATCCTGCACTTGCTCTGGCCTTTTTGAAATTAACAGCTTAACCGCTAGCGAATCTCCTGTTCGGTCGGAATCCAATGTTTCAAGTACCAGATACTTGATTTTATCTCTGTGCGCACTCTTCACATTTTGAATACCCCCCAATAAAATTCGTATCTCTGGGCAGGAGTAAGTAAAGCAACTGGGAACCAGCTCAGACATGGCAAGCCAAGGATATATTTCCACACAAATACGGATACGAGTGAGCACTCCAGCAGGCACACACTACACACAACACACAACACACACTGCACACTCCACAGAAATCCACACACTCTATACACACACACCCCAAAATAATCCCCAAAAGATGAAAATTGTGTAAAATTTGTGTGTTGGTTTCACTGATTAAGGATGGCTTACTGGCTGGCTGTTGGCCCCCCAAAAACTGCTGCTTTTGCTTCTGGTACTGCTTCTGGTACCGCTGCTGTTGGCCCCATCAGGGGAAATCTCTTGAAAGCCAAAAAGATGAATAGACCAGACCAACATCTAATATGTGCGAAATTTATCAGCCTCGATACACAGGCACACACTCAAACACGGAGGCAGAAAGGATATTCAGGAGCAATGCGGCAAGGACGAAGGCAAACGGCATGGAAAATCGCAATAATAATTTTGCCTTTCAGCTTCGGTTTCGGTTTCTGTGGCATTCAAAAGGAGGTGGGTGTCCTGAAAGCCTCGTGTGTGTGTGTGTGCGAATGCCTCAAGGATCCCGGCCATCCCAAGGATGCCCAGCCATGTGAGTGGACAGTTGCGGTCTCTCAGATGCGAATGCTCCAATTATCCTGAGGGGGGGGATGGGTTGACCCACCTCAACCGCTGCCCGGGAATCGAAACTCACGGATTGCAATGCAGTTTGCAGATGCTCGGTTACTCGAGCATCCCATCATATATTTTCGTTATGCTCTTGCTGGCTATAACAGTGGGTGGTTAGGGGTTCGGGTTTTTTGGTTACAGTAACAGTTGGATTAAATTGTACAATGCTCCGACAGTGCATCCCATCCCATCCTTCTGTTTGTCGCTCGCTCGTTCGGGTCCTTTTGCATTTTCCGGGGGTAGTGAGGCCGTTTTGCCTTGATCCATATCCATTTGCTTTTCCAAGGGGCTTTCAATTTCGGGAAGGGGGGCTCCATTTCTCCATTTCCATTTGTACAGCCTAGCAGCCAATGGCCTGCAGGTAGCCTTGAATCTGTTCACTCAAAGCATGGCTAGAGAAAGAGTTGATTAGTGGTGATTTTTCGTCAGTCAATACCAGGTAATGCTTACCCAAGTCCCTTGCCACTGGACGTGGATTTCTTGTAGAGAGCGGCCAGGAGGAGGATCTGTCCGGTCATCAGTAGTTCTCGTTTTCCATAGCTCAACCAGCCCTTGGTCTTCACCTGGGTGGCAAGAAGTACACGCTCCTCCAAGGGCTCACGAATATCTCGTCTGGAAAGCTCGCGATCGATTCGCTGAAAATCTTCGAGTCCCTCACGCCGGTCAACTTCTCGATCTTCTCTTCGCAGATTAACACGCGTTTCTCGGCGAAGATTTTCGCTTTGATTTTCGTTTCTTTCCCTACGAAGATCCTCCCTTTGTTGAGATACTACTTCATGTCTTCGGAAAGCTACAAGTTCCACTCGGCGATCCTCTTCTCGCTCTTCTCTTCGAAGATTAGTGTGCTCCTCTCGACGAGTGGCTTCTTCTTCTCGCTGCTCTCGATCCTCTCGTCGTTGAACTTCATCCACTCTTCGGGAATTCTCGCGGTCTTCTCTCCTAAGGTTATCCCGCTCTGCCCGTTGTTCCATTCTTCCATCGCGAGCTTCACGATGTTCTCGTCTGGCTGAGATGCGTTCGTCCCCTGGGAGCATTTCCCTTTCTTCTCGCCGTTCTTCGCTGCGCCTTTCCGTTCGCCTGGCTCCTTCAAGTTCAACCCTTCGTTCTACATGACGAACATTTTGTCGCTCATTGCGTTCCAATCGACGGGAGGATTCACGCTCTTCTCTGCGAAGGTCTTCTTGTTGCTCTCGTCGCTGGTTTTGGTTGTCGAGGCGCTGCTCCCTGCGGTTTTCCTCTCGATCCTCACGCCTAGCAGAGTCTCGTTCATCCCGACGGAGATCTTCGCTTCGCCGAGAAGAGTCTCGCTGTTCCCTGACTTCATCCACTCGTTGAACTTCAAATCGCATCCGATTCACTCGCTCTTCGCGTCTGGAGGAGTCTGGCACAGCTCGGCGTTCTTCTGATTGTTCCACTCGCTCACGAATTTCGGTGTCTGTTTGTCGCAGATTCTCTCGCTCATTGCGCTGCTCAGATTCTCGTTCCATGCGTCTGGAGAGTTCCCTATCTACGTTAGCTCTGTCGTCACGACGATTCTCGCGTTCCTCACGCCTGGACATATCGCGCTCTTCACGGCGTTCCTCGCGCCTATCGTTGGCTGCTTCCCGTCGAGATTCCTCCTGTCGTCTGCTCAATTCTCGCTCTTCACGTTGCTCTACCTGTTCCTCACGAGCCTCACGAGGTTGATTGCGTGACTCACGAGATTCTCGGCGGTCTACTCGTTCTTCAAGTCGCTCTTCTCGAGCATCACGTCGTTCAACTCGTGCCTCACGGGCATCACGTCGCTCTACTCGTTCATTACGAGTATCACGTCGCTCTACTTGATTCTCACGAGCATCACGTCGCTCTACTTGTCTCTCACGGGTATCAAGTCGCTCTGCGCGTTCTTCTCGCGTTTCACGTAGCTCTACTCGCTCATCTCGAGCATCACGTTGCTCTACTCGATTGTCACGGGTATCCAGTCGCTCTACTCGTCCCTCACGAGCATCACGTCGATCTACTCGTTCCTCACGAGCTTCACGCCGCTCCAATCCATTCTGACGACCATCACGACGTTCTTCTCGTTCCTCACGGGTATCGAGTCGCTCTTCTCGTTCTTGACGAGCATCTCGTCGATCTACTCGTTCCTCACGAGCTTCACGTCGCTCTACTCGATTCTCACGAGCATCACGTCGCTCTTCTCGTACTTCACGGGTATCAAGTCGCTCTTCTCGTTCTTCACGAGCATCTCGTCGATCTACTCGTTCCTCACGAGCTTCACGGCGCTCTACTCGATTCTCACGAGCATCACGTCGCTCTTCTCGTACTTCACGGGTATCAAGTCGCTCTACTCGTTGCTCCCGAGCCTCACGAGGCTCTGTTCGCTCCTCCCGAACTTCCCGTCGCTCCACTCGCTCCTCACGAGCTTCATGGGGTTCAAGGCGCAGCGATGAGTCCAACCTGACCCTCGTTTCCTCGCGCCTCTCGTTCCCACGATCATCGCGGGCTATCGACTCGACAGGTACTCCTCTCTTTGTCTCATCCGAGGCTTGTCTGTAGACCATGTGCTCATCGTAGTTATCTAGCCGGCGATGGGTATCCTTGCAGATGGAACTGCCCGTGATGTCCCCGCAGGAGAGCCTGTTGCTGGCCAATGCCAAGGTCAGACAGCCAAGTTGAAGGAGCAGGAGCAGAACGCTGAGCCGGAACCTCATCATCTTGGGTGGTGCTTGGTCGTCAGGTACACAAGAAGAAGATCGAAGATTCAGTCCGCTACTGTTTCACCAGCAGTCTGCGCAACTGGAATGACTTTCCTAGAGAATTGTGACCGCTTTTATAGCTGAATCCGGCCTAGAACTTTATATCTAAACCGCCCACGCTGGCACTTCCTGCTCCCCAATTTGCCGAGCTGATTGATTGAATTCCGCTTATCGCACATGTGCACCACTGCACCATCAAGTGGCGCAGACGCCACCGCTGTCCATTCGAGTGTTCCAATTTCCCATGAATGAAAATTGAACTAAGACCGTGACGTCACACAAGGGGTTTGTATTTGTATATAAACAATAAATAAAATAGGGAATCGATTTGCGAGGCTCGTTAAACACTTGTGACGTCAATACATGTACATATAAGAGGATATTAAACTCCTTTTCTTTCTTCTCAAAGCGAGTGCACAACTGCGATAAGCGCAATTCAATCAAAATCAAATTAGAGTGCAACGAGCAAAGGAGCCAACCCAATAATTGGGGCTACTCCTGTGGCGCCTTAGATGGCCATCAGGGCGTAAAATTGCCCATCGACATGGCAACTGTGTCCCGGTTGTTCCGAACATGGCCGTGAATCCACTTTGGGTATAAAAGCAGGAGTTACCAGCTCGCAGAGCTGTCAGTTGCCCAGATAATCGAGAAAGAAGCGGTCCCCGAAATCCCGGTTGGCCTCGGAACCGGCTGCTTAAAAGGGACTGGACCCAAGAAATCCCGGACCCATCTTTGGAACACCATGGGAAATCCCAGCAAATGGAGTTCGCCCACCAAGCCGCCCTAAGAATATCGCTTAACTAAGTATCAACTGTGTATTAACCAAAAAACAGTCTCCTTTTATCGTTATATCGTTATATCTGCACCGTATTCGCATTAACCAATATGATATATATTGTATCCGTAGTCCAATAATCTAAACGTAATCACTGTTAAACTTAGCCAGTTAAATGTTGCTGTTGTTTGGGATCGTATTGTCATGGAGCTGAAAGATTTGAGCAGCTTCTTCTCTTACTCGTCTAACCACAAACTACTCGTATATATGTATGCAACTTCTGCACTATTCCCACATGAAAAACTAGAATCTATACTATTCCATTTGCTGAAATGCACGATACAAGAAGCACATATGATTATAAAGTTCGTTTAAGGGGATTGCCCGAACCATCGGTAGTTATCCATCCATGCTTATGCGTAACCAAATACAAAATAAAATGTACTCGTACTCTAACCAAACGTTGAACCAAATGCAGTTTGATTTATTATTAAAGGGGGCTTAAAAGGGAACCCTTATGGGGTTCATGATAAAAAAAACATTTAAACTAAACATTTTAGGACAGAGTATCGGGGAATCTACTGATTTCCTTAGGCTTCTTTGGGTTTTTAAAGGCCATAATAACTCAAGGAGCCTCTGGAGGACTTCTGGTTTCACCCCGCAGAGTATCATCCAATATCAGATGAAGTTCTCTGCCGGGTGAGACAATAAGTACCCCAAAAACTCCATGTTTTCCTACAGCACTTCGCAGTGGGTGATGAGCAATGGCCGGCTGATCTTGCCATTTTTGGTTCCATGAGCCTCCATAGCCTCGATGACCTTGTCGCCACGTATCACCCTTCCAAAACCTACTCGCTGACCCTTGGCCACCGGCAGGGGCTTGAAGCTGATGCTAAAATTGATGGCCCCTCCGGGGAATCCCCGCACGCAGTACTCCTTGGCGCAGGAGAGAACGCAACCGAAGCGACCTTGATTAACCACGCGCGTATCGAACTCCATGGGATCTTTCAGGGAGGGCATATCGCGCGATGGGTTCTTACAGCTACTTAGGAGATAGCCCTCCAGCCAGAGATGCGGGAAGATCCGGCGAACGGCGAACTCGTGGGATCTCTGAGATAGACAGGTGCGGACGAACTGCAGCACCACCAGTGGAGCAGCCTCCGTGTACAGCTGCACTACCACCTGACCCAATGGACGTCCATCCATCAGGCCAAAGTGCAGTACAATCCTGGGCCGGAGCAGTCTCATCAGCTCGGAGTTCTCGCTAGGCAGTTGTAGATCCCAGCCGTTGTACTTGGTGAACACCTCACTCTCGGCCAGAACCGATCGGTTGGTCATCACACTGGGACAGCCGGCGGTACTCGTTAGCGATGGCCGTTTGGGCCATTTCCGCTGGGTCGTAGCACGTTTGCGTCCCTGGATCCTCATCAGCCGTCGACCCAATAATAGATTCTGATGCTCCACCAAGTCCAGCCTTTGCAGCATCAGAGGAAGAGCCGTTTGGGGGACGAGCGGGGGAGCGTCCATGGAGTCAATGTTGCCGCCAGTTCGCTTAATCTTCGCCAGATTCAACAACAGGCGCACATTCTCATTGGTCCGATCCAGAAAGCTGCGTGCATCCTGCTGCAGTATATTGAATCCGCCCTGGGTCTTGGTGTTCAGCAGCGGTGGGCTCTGGTCCACCAAACTGGTTGCTCTTTGCAGGCGTTGAAGGTACAACTTGTAGCGACATGGAGCGACTCGTCGTTGGTGCAGCTGCGAGAAACTAGATACTCGGGAAGTAAAGGAACCAGCGTAGGGAAACCGATGCGGGTCAAACATATCCAACAAAAAAAAAGAGATCAGGATTGGAAGTCTTTCTTTTTTGGCTATCTATATATATCATATGGAACACGGGGTCTGTATTGGAATACTGTGAATTTTTATTTGGTTTTTGTCTTAGTTGTCCGCCTGCTTGAGTTATAATATTTATGGGAGATCTATTACATTCTGTTCGGTTCTTAGCAGGGACCGTAATTGTTTAGAAAACTCACCCGGTAATCATTATGTTTAAGTTTTCTTTTGAGTATCCAATAAGAATATCAACATTAACAAAAGTTATCTATAATAATTACTGGTTGAGCTTTGTTTTGCTTAAAAATAGAATTCACTGGGAGGTACCGTGCACTCTATAAGAAATCAAAAGGTGACTTGTTCTTCTATGAATAATTTCTTGTAGAGCCGCCAGTATATCCCCGTATGTTGAAAAAGATTTATGTTTCTGTATAGGTGGTCGAAAAAGTAGCATACTGATTTAGTTGTTTTTTATATAAGTAGGTTATACACTATTTGGAGGATTTTGTTTATGGAAACAACATAAATACCCTTTACTTACGGTCCCTGGTTCTTAGCTTTTTTTAACTTTTTCAAAGTTCTCTATCTTAAACGCACAATAATTGGGTTAGGTAAAAAAAATCGACTGTTACGAGGGTAAAATTAATTGTGCCCCTACAGCACTCTTTGTCTAAATCAAATATATAATATTCAAGTTGAGATCGCTTCGAATTTCTGTACTTCGATATTCTATATACATAAAATACTTATTCCTAGTACAACTTTCATTTCCCAAGCCATCTCTCTCTTTCATTTCCAAGACCTCACTGTCTCGCTCTCTTTCACACCCCTATCGCTATCTCTCTCTAAGTTGTGTGAACGCTTTTTTTTCTTTGAACCATTCAATTTCTACATCGAAACACTGATATTTAAAATACTTTCTGCGCTAAGAACTACAATAACTTTAACCTTTTAAATATCCTTTGGTGAACAAAGGGCCTTGAGTGCCAGATTAGATTGTGGCTTTTGTTTTGAGAAAGATCTTAAACCTATATAAAAGTTGTTGGCTAACTGATCACTGGTCGATATACTTATTGTTTCCATTTTGAACACATCTGAATTTGGTTTGAGAAAATCGCAGGAGCGTCAGTTAGAGTTTCATTTTTGGAGCCACAATCCAACCTGGCCGCAAGTCCTGGGACACTTAGTTACCAACCCCTGTTTGTTGTTCTGGCTAAAATTGTTTTTATCATTTATCATTGGATGTTATTCTGCTTAGACGGACTCTAGTCGAATTGGCTGGCATTGAACATGGCAATGTGTCTTATATAGTATCCTAAACCCTTTGAACTCCACTACTTGTTGTTGTTCTCCTGCATCAAATCCTCGAGGGCACCGTTGAGCCGTCCCTTGCTGAGGGCCTCTACCAGCATATGAAGTCGTTCCTCCCGCTCCGAGTGTCTCCTCTCCAAGAGGGATACCTTAAAATGGGGTGCAAGTAAAACAAATTAATTAGCAAGGCCATACAAGATGATTGCACTTTGAACAATCAAACCTCTGCTTGTTTTGTTCTTGATTTTCTTGAACTTGAAATGAGATCTTGATTGGTTCGGATTGTTTTAGTAAAATGGCTTCTGTACCTTGGCTTTCAGCGCATAGTAGTCCACGGGCACTTTGCGCCTTTTTTGGGTGGTCAAAGCCTCCTCCCGCTCATTGAGGCGCTGCTGGAGGATCCGCACAGTCTCGTTGCAGGAGGCCAGTTCCCTTTCATGGGCACTCTGCAGAGTCTTAAGCTGTAAATACCACATAAAAAGTTAAACTCCAGTTTGGTTACTTTCATTCAAAGTTGGTGTGGAAACACTCACATCCTGCAGCCGCTTGTCATGAAGCGTTTTATAGTCGGCCTCCAGCAGACGGTACTTGTTTTGGGCCTCCTTCAGAGCCTGACTTTCGGTGGCCGCCGGAATGTGGTCACTGTGGTGATGATGATCGTAGCCACTGGAGCGCCTTTGCAGGGATCCTCCGCTTGCCTGGGACCTAAGGTCCAGTTTACTGCCTGCAAGTCACACAAAAACATCATTAATTTAATACAATTATTAGGTATATCTAATTATGTAAGCCAATTCGGGGTTCATTGAGCCTCGCCTGGCCAAATTTTATAAGAAATTTTCACAGAAAGCATATTGCATAATCCCAAAGTTATGAAGAGTGATTTACATTTCTTACACGCGCGTACGAAATTAAAACATTCGCTGATGATGCTATTTATACGGTTACCGTCGTCCGCTTTTGGCATTTACAATTATTAACAAAACAAATTTGACGGAGCGACGGCTCATTAATTAGCCACACAAAAACCGCACAGCCCATCAAAATACACAGAAATACGACGAAAAAAAATCACAAATCACAATCGCGCAGAAAAAGAAGTAATAAAAACCTCTTTGAGCTTTTTTTTGGCCAACGGCAGAGGCGGCTAACAAGTCATGGCATTATAAAACGTCCATTTAGAGGGGGAGGGGGCTGGGCGAAGAGAAAGAAGTGGTGGGGCCGCACAGAAGACCTGATCCAATCCAAGTCGATCACCAGCAGCGTCCATCCAGTCCAGCGACCCGCCGCCAAAACAAACCCGCGTCTTTGACTTTGACTTTCGCTTTCGAATTTTCTTTTTCGATGGCCCAGCCACACAGCACACAGCACTAGCAATAGCAACAAGAAATTCAAATCCGAATCGACAAAAGGTAAATAAACAGGTGACATAACCAAGTGCCCGAGATGGGGTCTCCCACCCCGCCCCGCCCTCCTGCTCATGTGGCTCCGTGTCTCCACATGTATCTATGCTCCGTCGGTGTCCCCAACTGCGACTCTGTGGATTCAGTTTCATTTTGGCCGCTTGCTTTAACCCTAGCATGACACTTTTTGTTTAAAAAAAATGGTAAGATATTATGGAACTACTGATTTTAAAATGAACACCCCAATTACAGACTTATCTCTGTTTCAACAGATTTGGTCAAACTGTAATCCACATTTTTAAATAAGTTTAAAACTAGGTTTTCCTCATTTCAAAAACTATAAGAGTAGCCGTCTACTCAAAAAAATCATAAACCATTAATAAAACAAACAAAATTCACATTTTGGAAAAAGTATACCTTTCCGAAAAATAAAATTTTATATTAAAACTGATTTACTATTGGTAAAATACTATACCTTTTTGAAACTTGAGTAAAAAATATCAATAAAAAATCTTTAAAACAGAAGTGATGTTCTCGAATAAAAATATGTTTATAATTTGAAATGAGTATAACTTTTTGAAACTTAGATGTAAGTTACCAAAATGTAATATTTTTTAATTTAATACACTAAGATCTGATATGTATACCCTTCACATAATTGCATCTAGGCCAATATTTAATTCCCTACACTAAGCTCACATGATTGCTTTTAGCTCAAAATAAACAACATAAAATTGTTTGACAAAACACATTTGCATAGCTCTTTTCAGAGAACCCCATGTAACCCACGATGCTCAGGGGGTTAAGACGTCTTGGCCCGGCTGAAACGTGTTTGTCTTGGCCATTGGCCGATGGCCGCTTAGCCGCTTAGTTGCGCTGCAATTGCCGTTTGAAACGAGTGCAAAAAGTGGTCAAAAGGCCGACAGCGTCGACAGCCGTACAATGATTTATTCCAGCAATTTATTTGCCGTCTCTAGAAGCGGAGTGGGCAGCGGGGTCTCCAGCGGGCGGAGGGGGTTCGGCAGGGGCAGGGGAAGGTGGAGGTGGAGGCGGGCATGGGAGGAGTGGGGAACTACCAAGTGTACGTGCTGACCGGGCAGAGAAAGTCCATAAATTACCAGCCATCCATCGGCGACCGAGTGACACAAACACAACCAAAATTAGAGAGGGGCTACGAGATGGGTTTTTGGATTTGCTTGTGGATTTGGATTTGGATGTGGATGTGGACTTCGGATTTGGGGGGTCTAGATGCTCACCTGCCTGGCTGGTGGAGCCACTACCCTCCCTGTCCCGCTGCAGCTTCCGTATGGTCTTCTTGCACTCATCCAGCTCCCGTGTGAGTCGCTGCATTGCCTTGTTCTTAATGGCCAAATCCACGCGCATACTCCTCACGGAGCTCAGCAACTGGGCCTCCTCCTTGGATCCTCCGCCTCCATGGCTAAGCAGCGAGAGTGTGGAGTCCGACTGCGAGATGGGCAGCTTGGAGGGACCGGCGGTGACCAGGGGCGAACGCCGCTGACCACCACTTTGCTTCGAGTTCGGACGCGACGTGTTTGGCGTGGAATTGGCCGTGCTGCTGGTGCTGCTACTGGCGGATGGGGCATGTGGATGACCATGGAGGTGGACATGCGGCTGGTGGAGGTGCTGTTGCTGGCAAATGAGTGCCGGCGAGGGGCAGCCAATGGTGTTGGTGCTATGATCCCGCGTTCCATTCGCCGCCTGGGTTTGGGTGCCCATCGTGGTCGAGCTGACAGTAGATGCTCCGCCGGGATTCACTCCACTGCCCACCGGCTCATCATTCTCCAATGGATCCGTTTGGGTGCAATTGTTGTAGTATCTATCCGCACGCTTTTGCATATAGCGATCTAGGGTGCGCACTTGAGATTCGATCTGCTCGTTCAGCTTGGTATTGATCTCCTGTAGGCTGAGGAGTTGAAATTTAAAAAACTAATTAGTTTATGCCTTGGGAAACTTGAGGATCTATAGAACCCACCTCAGAACCTGCGTCTCCAGGTCTGCAATGTGCGTCTCGTATTTGGCCTGCACCGAGTTGAAGCGCGCCTGGACATTGGCCAGAATCTGTTGCGCCTTGCGATCCTGCTCCTTGGCATCCGATTCCAGCTGGGCGATGCGCTGCTCCAGCAGCTTGCGGCTGTTCACGTTCTCCTGGTCGTTTAGCGGACACATCCCCGGACTCTTGGAAGCCACTAAAAGATATTATCAACAAGAAAACAGTCACAATACATTAATCTGATATTCTTAAATTAAATTGTACCTAATATATCTTATTCTATGTAT